GACGGATAAGAATAAAGAGGCTTGGCATTCTTCGGCTACCTTGAACTTTTGTGTCTGAGCTCCCAATGCAATGGCTTTTCTGCATGTCACAGAGACACCAACTGTAGAGTCAGTCACGTGCTCTCTGCCCTCCTCTTCCTGTAGGTAGACTGAGATACTGAGGTGCATGCAATTCCATGAGGGCAGCACCTACACAATGACCCACAGGACTTGGGTCAACCCACGACTTGTATGAATGTCGACGGAAGGAGTAAGAAGAGAAAAGGAACGAGAGAACGTTGTCATGGGAACACCAAGGCACATCACAAGATGAAAAGGATTTGAAACCCATTCTGCTATCTCAGGCTTTATTTATTCAAGTAATAAATCAAGACATCTGTGTCAAAACCAGTGTAGCGTAAAATGAACTAAGGATAAGCTTTTCAATCCAATCAATACTGCCTTCTAAATACCAGAATCTTTATAAAATGATGTTTCACTGCACACTTGATCTATATTACTGGTAAAATTACTAGATGAGCATTTGTGCACACTCTCTCTTTGTTCTAGTTTCTTTAAAAAATTCTACGTTACTCACCAAGAAGGATTACTATAAAGACAGAATTATGGAGAATACTATTTCATGAGCAGAACAGTTTCTAAACATATGATAGGTCAAAAAAAGTCAAGCAGGCTTGGGTAATGAAGTGCTTTACCCCAGATGAGGTATTAATAAATGAATGCTGCCTAAGGGTTAAGTAGGCCAGGAGGTCAATGTTCAACTCACAGACGGGAATTTCATTTAACTATAATCTAGTCGGGGAAGGAAATATCAATCATTGGAGGGCAGACAGCTTGCAATTCTGGTCTTAAAATTCCGTGGTGGGAATTTGTGTTACCGCTCAAAGAAGGCACTAACTCTTTCATGTCTTCGATTCCTAGCTCCCCACTGAAATTCTAGTTCTTCCTAAGAAAGGCAAGTCCACTCTCTATGTAAGTTTCCTATAGGGAAGTCATTTGACAAAATAATGAATCTTGAGACACAAGCTGAGGCCGATGAAATGAAACTATTTTAATACTTTTGTTTCATTAAACAATTCATTCCCTTTCTGGATTCAGAGATTCATCGCTAGGATAGAATGTTACACCCGGAAAGACCTCCCAGAGCAAATAAGACAAGCTGGCTTTGTTCAATGAACTGGCAGAAGCCACACAGTTGGCAGAACCAGAGCTTCCTTTTCATCTCTTGAACGAAACAAAGACGTTCTGCGAAAAATTTAATGCAGTTTACAGACTTATATCGAAGACATAGAGAGTTAAAGCTATTTTTTTCTAGTCTGCTAGACAGGGCCTGCCTATAAGAAAATAGACCTACATTGCATTTCCATTTATTAGATTAATGGCTAATGGACCAACTCCTGCCTCCCTCTCGCATAAACCTCCTGCTGAGTCCTTATCTGTGTCTTTCATTTTCATCTGTCTTCTAAACCCTGGATGTGCTTAGAAGCTGGAGATGAAAGCTCTAATAGTTGATTGGTTTTGAGGACCCATGGTGAGGGAAGAAGGGGAAAAGGAAGACTGAAATAGGTAAACCTGGGGAGGAAATTTAAAGGTGTAGCTGAACATTTTGTGGGATTTGTAAAAATGGAATTTGGGGAGAAATTTTAAAAATATATTTGCTACTAATTTTCTAAGGCTGTTTATAATACCGAAAGTCACTACTATTTGAAGATGTATTGTGTAAGATATGAAGACCTAGTGAAAAACAGTTTTTTATAATATGTGGAATTTTCCCCAAATGACTATAAAGATTTTTTTCCCCTCTCTCTTGAGTTGGGTCTGTTTTCCTTGTCTTTGTATCTTTAGCCCCAAACTGGAATCAAACACTGATAGTTCCTTGGGTTTCCACAGAGGGGCAAAGGCACATGGGGCCAGCAGATACCATAGTTAGGGCAGGCTCTGGCCCCAGCTCATGGAACATTCTCTGATTCACACTGACAGACCAACCACGGGAAAGCGAGAGCCCTCAGCGGCCATCGCCCTGCCCTGCAACTCTACTTCCTCCACACCCGGGTCTCCACTGCTTCTAGAAAGGCGGCTGTTCTTGTTCAAATGAGCCCAGGTCACTAGACCTGATATTTCTGAGGCTCTTTCTCCTGCCCCCTCCACGAAAGAAGTTGGGACTGCAGTGTAGACCACCAGGCCCCAGGAAATGTTGGATTACCTTCTAAGCAAATGTCTCGGGCTAGAAACACAGCACGAGCAGGCGGGGGAGCCCTGGTCGCAGGGTGGACACCCTGAGTGCGGGGCCTGAGCTGTTGTGTCCTAGTCTTGGGTCCCAGCAAATTGCTGCCCATCCTCAAGCATGATAATACTGTGTATCCTTACAGAATTTTAATAAGAGGAAATAGCATAATGGAAGCCCTCTAGGTTATAGAAGGCTACAGTTATTTTTACTAAAGCCCAATCATAGGATAAATTAAGAACCAAGAGATTTGATGAGCCTCACTCACTCCTTATGATACTTGGAATGATGGAAGTCAACACTTTTGACTCTGGAGACCATGATGTTTCAACACTGAGAGAATAAATTTAGCCATTTGGAGTACTGGGAAGAAGAAAATTTACAATCTGGATTTTTCTCCTTGGAAAGTTGACGCAAGGACCTCACCCTACAATAGGCACGTATGGATAGAGTTTCCTTCCGTGTAACCAACATTTCACATTAATAAATATAACTGATCACATTTTTCATAAGTACATCCACTGAAAGGCCCTCACCTTTTGACACCTTACTGCAATTCATACAGCTAATTCCAAAACAGGAAAGGATCGGGTCCTTCTAACATACTAACACTTATATATATATATATATATACTTTCAGGTCCAAAAAGGCACCTTACTTGCCCAGGGCTGGAGAGTTAAAAAAACAAAAAGCTATCTCTGTTGATTTTGCTCCTTTCTCTGACACCCAGCACTGGGCGGGGCTCACCTAGTTAGTAACAGCCATAAAGCATTTAAAGGACTCATGGATCAGAGGGTGCTAAATTCCCAACTCCTCTCTCTTCTTGCAGCAGAAGGAATCACAGTGTCCGAGCAGCAAGGTCAAGAACAGGGAGCCCTGCTACGTCATCAGACTCTGGGTTCCCAGGCTACACTCGCACCTGTGACTCTGTGGCTTCCCTGGTGTCCCCTTGGTTTTACTTCTCCTCTCTTTCCCTAAGACAGGGCCACTGAGGGGCTTTTTCACTCCAGCCCGCAAATCTCCATAGCAACTGGGAAGCAGGTGATGTCATCAATATTGTCACGATGGGAAAACTGAGCCTCAGAGAGCCCTTGCTGGCATGCTTTAGGTAAGGACTTGGACTTGGGGCTTCTAACTTCTTAGCCAGGGATCCTGCAGTTCTTAGTTTACATGGAGCAGATGTCTGGAGGCCCATTTACAGAGGGGGCTAAATAAGGTCAACAAGACTGAGATCCACACGCTTGGACCAACTCCCAAAGCGCCTCTCCCCAGAGAAATGGCAACAGCTCTGAAAGGCAGGAGGGGAGAGTGGGAAAAGATGGGCTTCTCAAGTCATCAGACCTGCAGTAAAGTACACAAGCGACGACTGTGTGACCCCACATTACAGAGGCTGGGCTCTGACACAGGCCTATGTCATTCCTCCTAAATCCCTGTAGGAAACGAGAGAGGCAGGAATTAGGATGGAATGTAAACTATTTCTTAAGGAGGCAAGTGAGCACATCTCTTCTTCTAAGAGTTCCCTTCTGGAGAGAACCCGAGCTCATCCTTTCTCCCTGATTCTTAACTGGGGTTACCGTGTAAGCCCCCCGTTAACAGGAGAAAAGGGAAGGAGGGGTGGCGTGGGGGAGGCACAAAGTCGGGTGAAGGCAGGCTCCCCTCCAGTCCCACAGCAGGCTCCTTTCCCGATGTGAATTTCATCCCTTTCTCCTGTGACATCCCTGAGTGTCCCTTCTGTGCCAACCTTGCATAAGAGCCCCCTCCTATCTCACCACCACCCCAGTCTCCCTCACTCCCACCCTCGCTGCTCATACACGTGCAAAGTACAGCACGACCCATTCTTCTGGGACGGGAGAAAGGAACGCATACTTTTCAGCTTTGTCTGCCCATGTTGAGAACAGCACACCTGGGCTGGGTGGAGGGGTGGGGGCTTCGGGCACCAGCATGATGGGGACATTGGGCCAGATGTGTGAGGAATGAGATGCTAACAACAGAGCTGGCACAGCCACCATCAGTGGCAGAGCCCGTAGAGCTGGAAAAAACCCCGGAGGCCACCCAGGGTGACCTCTCTCCTTCCTGGCAGAAAACGGGTTCACGTCCAGGGCTGCAGATCCACTCAGTGGTGGGGGGTGAGGGTGGAGGGAAGATGGGAAATAGACGTGGCCCCTGGAAGGTCAGGGGCTCACAGGTGACAGGAAGATGATACTGGGGTCCGATCTGGAAGCTTTCACAACTCACTGGAGCCCCTCCCAGTGTCCCCAGTGCCCGTTTGGGGACACCAGGCTCTGCTTTTGTCCTTGTCTTTTCGGAAGGAGTGGGAGGATTCTCGCCTAGCCACGTCTCCATTCCCCCAAGTGAAATTAGAATTATGAACTTGCATTTCTCAGAGCAGATATGGGACCAGTGGGCTGTGGGAAGCCACCCAGCACGTCACAGCACCCGGTCATATCTGGATACCCCCTTTGTCCTCCTCTCTGATCTTCCCCTGTAAAGTCTGTCCTTCCTTGTGCGACTTTTCTAATCCCATCTTTGGCAGAAATCTTGGGAAACAGTTATTCACTGTCTCCTTCCAAGCAAAATGCTGACAGCCATGCAGAAGGTGGCAGAGCTCAGAGGACAGAGCCCACCACTGGGCTGGAGGACACCTCCAGCGATGAGATATGGCCCGGCCAAGCAGAGGGGACACCCAGGGGCCGTGGTGGCACGTCTGCGCCTTGGGTCCCTTTCCCCGAGCGGGACAGCTGGGGTCTGGGGTTTCAGGCAGCTGCTAGTCCTTACCTTGAGAGGCAGAGCGGCCGGCGGGGCAGGGCAGCCGGTGCTGATGCGGACGGCGGGACAGTACCTGCAGAGCCGTGCCCGTGTCGCCCGCACTGAGCTCCCTGCGCCCTCCTCACAGCTCCCGGGCAGCGCCTGGCAGGTCGCAGCACCTCTCCTCAGCACCGCCGGTTCCCTGTCGTCAGCAGCGTGGCCCAGGGCGGCCGGTGGAACGGAGCATCCCAAAATGTCCCTGCACAGGGCGTCCATGCCCCATGGGTCCCGGGGTGCAGAAGGGACCGGCTGGTGCTTCCAGCCTGTGGAGGGATCGCCGTTTCCATTGCTCATGCCGGGAGCTGGGCTAGGACACCAGCATGGCAGGGGCTGTGGCCGGCCAAGTTTCCTAGAGGCGGGGGCCCGGGGACGCCTGCGATGGGGGGGTCCGCAGTCGCCACCCCTGCTTACGTCCTGGGCTTTTTCCTCCCCGGCCTCCTTTGCCTTCAGAGCACAGCAACCAAAAGCAGCTGGCCGCTCTGTCCCAGGGCCTGCCTCCTGCGGTGGCGGCGGGCTTGCAGGAGTCGCAGCCAAGCCCTGTGTGCATCTGAGGTCCCAGCCTGCCAAGAAGCTGGCCCTGGGACTTGGGAGAATGTGTCCCTCCTCCAGGCCCCCTGGGGCTGCTGCTGCTGTGCAGGCTGCAGTGGCTGGAGACTGGGCGGGGAGAGCCGGGCCAGAGGGAGCCCGCAGCTGGATGAAGAGGAAGGAAGTTTTCATCTGCTGTTGCCGAAGCTGCCCAGCCATTTCCTCCAAGCGGGCAGGGCTGGTCCTTGCCAGGCTCGAGTTTCAGGCCTCGGTGCCCAGGGCTGCAAACCGCCGCGGCTGTGGGCAGACGTGACTCAGCCCCATGGTTGCCCCGATGGCCTGAGGACACAAAAGACACACCTTCAGCACCCTAGGGGCGTCTCAGAGGAAAGGGGGGGCGCTCAGGGCATGATCTTGACCGTGGAACTGAACTCTGCACTCACATCACAGAATCCCCCAAACAAACAGATCCATGGAGAATAATCTACCATAAGGGTGGGAGTGGGGACAGTCAGGACTTGTCCCCTCTCAGTTTTGTGTGTCCAAGTGGCACTACTTTTCCTTAACCGCCTCCTTCCTCATACTTGATATGAAAACACTATTTGTTTCCTGGTTTCATCCTAAATTCTGTATTAACTACTCCCATTATTTGGTGTCTGACCTGTGAGATTCCAAGTTTATAAATGAAGCCTCCAATAAACTTCGAAGTGTCCTTTTAATTTACTTTGCTTGCATTACTTTTACTAAATACTTTTAAGACCTCTACGATAAAAGGTATAACAAACAGTCAGAAACAGCTTTAATGTTTTACTGAATTTCCATTTTAAATCCTGTGATTATTTAGGGGTTCTCTGTGGGGAGGAGCCTCACAGTCCCAAGTCGAAATACTCGGTGCTGTGGTTTGAATGGGTCCCCTCCAAGATTCAGGTGTTGCCAATTGATGGTATTAAGAGGTGGGGCCTTCAGGAGATGATTAGGTCATAAGGGCGCCTTCCTTCACCAGTAGGATTATGGCCCTTATAAAGAAGTTTCACACAGTGATCAGTCAGCAGCATGTCCTTCCACCTTCCACCCTGTGAGGACTCAGTCCCTCCCTTCCGCAGGACACAGCCCTCACCAGACAACTCCGCCTGCTGCGGCCTTGATCTTGGACTTCCCAGCCTCCAGAACCGTGAGAAACTAAATTTCTGTTCTTTGTAAATTACCCAGTATCTTGCTATACCAGCACAAAACAGACAAAGACACTGGGCGTCACAGCCTGCCCCCCCCCCCAAAAAAAAGAAAGAACAAGAAAGAAAGAAAGATGAAAATGAGAAAGGAAAAAAAGAAGAAATAAGAAAAAAAATCTGGGTAACAAAGGCTGGAGGGTGTTTTTGTTTTAACAGTCTATTGTTTTTATTTATTTATACATTTTTTCCCGTTTCTTAAATTTCAGAATATTATGGGGGTACAAACACTTTGGTTGCATATATATTGCCTTTCCGTCGTCCAAGCCAGAGCTACAGACGTGCCCACTTAGCTGTCTTAAGTTGTGAGAGCTTAGCAGTGCTTTTTTAAAAATGGAGATTGTGTATTTCCAGCAAATTATACCAGGTGGTTGAAAAGTAGAGTAAAAGCAAAGCAAGACAAAAGGAAGAGGAGAAGAAATCACCCGGAAGTGCAGTCGAGGACTTCACGTTCACAGGGTTTCCGCAGGCTCCCCTGTTCTCACGATGGATAGGAGCCTTTTTGAGCCACACTGACCTTGCACCTGAGGAGGAAAGTGGGCGGAGGTGACAAAGGTCTAGGATTCATCAGTGTGAAACAACTTGAGGAAAAGGGAGCCAGGAAATCATCCTCTGAGATGAAGGGAGCCCGTTGCCCAGAAAGTCCCTGCTCTGCCTGAGCATCGTGTCCAGCCAGGGTGACTTCTCCTTCCCCGACTTCCCCGACTTCTCCATCCCTTACCCTGGCAGCAGCCCTGGAGCCATCAAAGGCCACTGCCCTGGCTGGCTACCGGTGGCCACCTGAGTCTGTGGAAATACTCAGGATGTTGGTTTCCTTTTAAAAACATTTTTGCGTAGTTTTTTCACCCAAAGTTATGGGGGCTTTGCCCACGTTTCCAGAGAGCTGACAAATGGCTTGGTCTACGTCTCTTTTAGAAATGTATTCGTGGCTGTTTAGACCATGCATAAGCCAACTATAATCCTTTTGTAACAAATACCAATATAGAGAAAGTTTTGGCTAAACAATATTATGTCCAAGTATAATTATACGATGATCGGATTACACTAATTTTCACCCAAAATCCTGTGCAAGTGCTATCTAGTCCTCTTTGGGTAATTTTCACACTCTCCTCCAAACAACTTGCTTGAACATTGCAATCACTCAGCAAATACTAGTTCGTTGACTAATGAACTGCCAATAATGGGAGAAGCTACGTTTTCAGATAGAACAGGGATTTGGGTGAAAATGAGCCATCATTTTGTTTTAGCTTCTAAAGGTGTCAAACATCACATTACAGTATGCTTTACATAGTGCATTTCACTCAAGGCACAGCACGGTCCCATGAAGTTGGTGGCCTCATTGCCATTTTGCAGTTAAGGAACATGAGACTAAGACAAATCAAGTCATCAATTGCCTGATGCCTTTTAACCACACCTGCCCCAAGTAGGCAGGGGCTATAAAGAGCTGTCAGATGAGAAGTTTCCCTTCAACTACCTCACCTGTTTCTATTTCAAACATCCAACTTCCCAATAAAGTGAAGTACCAAGGACACCATGGTGGTGCTGGTGGAGTGACCAAGGCATCTCTTTCTTCCTTCTCTTTTCATTTGCAAGCTCATCACAGAAGTGATTACTGCCTGATATTTCTTTTCTAGACTGTCTGGGCTGGAAGAGAAGTGTAAAGAAATGGCGAATGACACTTGAGAGTTGACCACGGGGCTGACTTGGGGGACACATGTGAGACACCTCCTTACGACACCTGTAAGTATTAGGGGGAACATTTAAGAGCCTGGGGTTCTGTATGAGAAGTGGGGCCAGTGCCAGAGAAACATGGGTTACTGCTGCAATGTAAATGACATCATCGCAACTGAGACCGCAAGCTTTGGGGCCAGACAGACATTTCTCTGAGCCCTGTGTGGCTGTGTGATCTTGAGTGAGTTACTTAACCTCTCTGATCATCAATGATTGGTTTTTTTCTTCACTAAGAAGCAATAAGACCTACTTCATAGGGTTGTTGTGAGGATTAAGCACAGGTGTATATAAAGGGCTTACTTAGCATAGTGTGCGGCATATAATAGGTTTTCAATAAATGTTAACTACTCTAAGAATTTTTACCCACACATTATTGAGGCCTGGAGAAAATTGGATCACCCAGTCATGAACAATTTGAGTTATTTCATTCAGTAAATAATTTTTAAAAGCTGCAACGGGTAGACACATGCATATTTTTACACTTTCTGCCTGATGGGTAAGCATCCAAGAGCTGAGGAATTAATTGGGATGTGAAAGAGTAAGTAATGAATTTGGGGTCAGGAGATACAGGTTGAGTTCTGCAGTTACCATTTATTAGGTGCAACTTACAAGTCTCTGAACCTGTAAAATGGTGGAGTGAATTTCTGACCTTTCTACCTTACAGAATTATTTTGCAGGTCTGATGGGATGGTCTATGAGTCTATGTGGGAGTACTTTATAAACACAAAAGTGATGCACAAAATCGACACAGCGGTCATGGGTGTCGCATACCACATTCTTGTCCAACACCAAACCTGGCATTATAGGATGAGGATGGTGGCGGGCGCGCAACGCTGTAATCCTACGCACTCGGGAGCGGCGGGCTGAGCAGCGATCGCTTAGGTCAGGGCGAGTTATGAAACCCAGCCTGCAGCACAAGAGCGAGGACCCGGCCTTTATACTGAAAATAGCACAATGTGGCCAACGTAAAAGCCTAATTAACAATTAGCCAGTGGCCTGGCGGTCGCGCCAGGCAGCGTCAGGGACCGCATCGTGCCATGCCTGTGTCCCCAAGCTACTCAGCGAGCCTGAGCCGGAGGATCTCTTGAGCCCAGCGGATTGAGCTGCGTAACAGGCTGATGGCACGGCACTGCACTCCCTAGCCTGGGCACTCAAAGCGAGCGCACTCTAGTTCAACAAACTGAAAAAAAAACCATGAAAATAAAAAATAAAAAGAGCGGCATAATGGTCCCATTCACGCATTAGTCAATCGGAGCTTGGAAAAATCACCTGATAAATGTTCAGGCTTGTAAAGCTGTAGTGCAGTGCATCACATTTTTGTGAAGATGCTGATATAAACAGACCTACTGCACTGCCAGTCATATAAAAGCTCGTAGCACATATAAACATCAGCAGTCACATCATACGTTGATACATGATTATGTAACCAACATGTTACGGTTATGTATTTACTATAGCTATATCTTACCTGATTTTAGAGTACTTCTTAGTTTATAAGTATGCTTCTCTACGTATAAAAACAAAGTGCTCAGCATGTAAGAACAGTGCCTCGGCAGGTCACGTGTCTCCCAAATACCAGGGTGTACGTATCCCCTTCACTCCTTTTTTTTTTTTTTTTTTTTTTTTTGAGACAGAGTCTCACTCTGTTGCCTGCGCGCTAGAGAGTGAGTGCCATGGCAATCACCAGCTCACACAACCTCAAACTCCTGGGCTCAAGAGGATCCTCCTGCCTCACTCCCGAGTAGCTGGGACTAACAGCGCATGCACCACCATGCGCTGGCTAATTTTTCTAATATGTGTTGGTTTTGGCAATAATTCTTCTATTTTTAGTACGACGAGGGCCGCTCTTGCTCAGGCTGGTTTCACTACTCCATGCGACTCTCCCGCCGTTGGCTCCGCAGAGTAGATTACAGGCGTGAGCCACCGCGCCCGGCTCGCCTCTCCACCCTTAACCTATGCCGCCTTTCCCTAAACCAACTCCCTTGCGATTGATCATTTTGCCCGTCCCCAATAGGCGAGCCCAGCTCATTTCTTCGAGAGATGACACCATGTCAGATATTCCCCCTTGTGGTTATTTTATGGAAGAACGAGATGGGAAAGCAATTAGAAAGAATCTTTCATTTCCATCCTGTATCTTCATTTCCTTAACCGTGCCCTCGCGCCCAACCCCAGTTGCAACACGTGGTCGTGTTCCTGAGCGCCTCTTCTGCGCGCGCCGTATACGTGCTACCCGTGCCTCTGATCACGCAGCAGATGGCTTTTGAAGTCAATGGAAAAAGCGCCTGAACGGTCCAACGACTGGGCTGTGGAGGTGCGAATCCCTGTGCTGTGTCATGCCCGGCCGGCCGGTCCCCTCGTGCATGGTGTTTCGCAAGCTGGATA